TCCAACAACAGTTGGGGGCTCAGGTCTCTGCTGTTGGTATTTTGAGGGTCAAAGGCTGAAAAGTTTGGGAACCACTGCTCTAGAGCATCTGTGTCAAATCCTGTCCTAACTGCTATCCTGCTTGTTTTCCCTGTTTCCCTGCTCCAACACACCTGATTCAGGGATTGTATTAATTCTGTAGAAACCTGTTAATCATCTGTCCATCCAAATCAGGTGTGTTGGAGCAGAGAAACCTCTAAAACACAGGACAGGAGCCCTCCAGGATCAAGATTTGACACCCCATGTTTCTAGTATCCTCACAGCCTCTTCTGCCTTTTGTTAACATGAGTAGCCTCTTGTGACAGAAAATAGTAACAGCAACAGAACAAATGCGTTTACTGTGTAAACAGGAGAGGAACATATCAGAARTACTGCTCAGCTCACTGGTTTTCAGAAGCAAATATTTTAATCCAAATGATGTTTCTGGGGCAGCATGTTGCTGAGTGTAAACATAGTGGTCCTATTAGACAAGAGGAGTGTGGACAATGACAATTTCTGTACAGCATCCATAACCAGAGAGGGCAAGAGTCTGGACTTAGCATTGTTGTAGATATTTGCAAAACAGTCAACAGCAAGAACTGATTATGTAAAAAATAATAATAATAACATTATACTGCTTATTTTAGCTACAAAACAGGATGGAAAATGCTGGAAATGTTATGAATTTCAGGTAGGAAAGAACCCAGGGTGCAGGCAGCTTCAAAAAGGCAAAAATAAGTATTTATTAAACAAAGGCTGGCAGGGCAGCTCAAAAACTCACTTGGTGTAGCTAGGCAAGGCAACAAACACACAGGCTGTGAACAGCACAATGATCAGACAGGGAAGTGAAGACAAGACAGAATATAAAGGTGAGACTAACGAGCACAAACAGGAAACACCTGGGAGAGAAACATGAGGAGCAGGTGAAAGTGGGCGGAGCTGGAGCAAAGGCAGACAGGAGGAAGAAAACAGACGACAAGACAGAAACTAAAATAAAACATTAACACAGACAACAATCATAACAAGAAAGCTGTGTTACACCAACCTAAGAGTATCTCATTTCACAAGTAAGAAGTATTCATTTCAACATGAATGTGATCCAACCAGAATTAAAACTAACACAACTGTTTAAAATTCAAATTTACTTATAAATTGTTACAGAGCTACTCCAACATGCTGCCACCCTGAATGGAGCAATTCTAGAATGAGATCCTGGATACAAGCAGCCAAAATGAGCTTCCTCTGTAGGATGACCGGGCTCAGCCTTAGAGACAGGGTGAGGATCAAGGGTGGGCACATCAATACCAGTGTCATTACAATCAATGCCAAGTTGAGTATCAGTTGTAACTTGGTACCTAAAAACATTTTTATTTCCCTAAAATMTTTGTCCTGTGTTATTCATAATTGACTAACTAAAGGCAAAATTATTCAATGACAAGCTGGAACGTGTCACTGGGAGAGGGATGTCTGGGTTTCTTCCCTGGACCTGTTGCCTCTGCAACCCAACTATGAATAAGCGGTCGAAGATGGAGACAGATTTTCTTTCCTCACAGAAAATGACAAGAAATACCTTCCACTTAWTCTAACAGGTATATTAGACTGGATGTGAGGACACCCAACACCACTGTCATGGTTTTCATGGCCTGCAAGTGTGCACGGACCTGCAGACTTCCTGACTGTTCCTGCCTTACAAACAGACTGAAGTGCACAGAAATGTGCAAACTACAAATCTGCACTAATGCGTAAAAGGAGGAGGATGTTTGATGTGAAAATGACCAATTATAACGGTGAAAATAATAATGATGGGGAGGAATAAATGAATTTTAAAGACTTGAGATTAGATTAATTCAAAAACAGATTATAGAATGTTTTTTATTAGTTAAAGTTATGAGTTTATAATGACCAGTTTGATTCTTTTGAATAGTGGATGTTGTCTCGGACACTTTTAAACTACTATACTTGGGAAGGGTTGTCATGTTAAAATTTGAGATGTGATGTTCAAGAATGCTCTTAACTTTTTGAACGACTCCTTACAACAAATGGTAGGAGCCGAGTCACGGGCAGTAAAGAGCCATTTGTAGTTTTATTTTTTATTCCTCCTATAATCTTAATTTTTTTCAACCTTAAATTGCTCATGATTTTGTTTTTTCCTGGAAAACAGAGCGGTGGAGTACAGCAGCCCGGAGGAAAGTGTGAGTTTTTTTTTTTTTTGCTTGGTTCCACCCACGTAACGTGATCAGTATTTCCATGCGAGATATAACTCGTTCAAAATCAAACGGCTCTTTCGAACATCTCTGTGAAACAAACAGCTCCTCAAGATCAGCATCCCTTCAAAGAGATATCACGTGTCTTGTTAAACTGTCATATAC